GATGCCCGGCTCAGGACCTTATTGAAGAGGTATTGAAATGCTGCGGCATGGAGGCCGGTAAGATTATATTTCTGAGCTGAAGAACTGATTTAAAAAGGCGGGAATCTGGCCTCAGAATTCACTAAATCGTGCAAAGGAGAAGGCCTATAGAAGACACCTTCTGTTTGACAGCAATTACAATTGCATGTAATCAGCAAATGTTTTCATTTTAGGCATGGAATACCGCCCCCCCACTGAATACTTGACTCTGATCTTTTCTCTCTGTCTTTGTGTTGCTGTGTTTTCAGGCTCAGTGTCCCTCAGTGTGTTCCTGGTCTCCCTCGCAGTGACAGTTTGTGCAGTTTGGCTGGTGGCTCTTTGTGGTGTCTGTGGTTGGTGTCAACGGAAGCTGGTGAGTTTACACGCACATGCAGGCAAAACCTTTACAACCAAAATACCTCAGTAACCTGTGAACCCTCGCCAACAGCAGAGAGCTTGTATGCAGATCAGCGGCTCTTAAAGGCGCAGACACCCCTGATAACATGGCAGGTTTTCTTTATAGAACAATGAGGTCATGATAAGACAACATAAACTACCATTGCTGCCAACTCAGCAACTCTGTTGATATATTTAGCTACTCACCAGATCCTCCAGTGACTTCATTTCAAAAAAGTGACTAGCAATCTAGCAAATATACCGAAGACATATGAGCCTATACGCACGTTTAAAAATACAATAAATAAGATTCACTACTTTACTGTCATATCCACTTCAGTGCACCAACCAGGGTCTGGAACACACAGATATAATCAGTTCTCAGGTGATTATCTGCGCTAATAAATAAACTTCTCAATAACAGTGTAGATTAGGTCAGCTGGCAGGAAGCTCAGTCACGGTGTTTATGTCACACAGAACTCTATTAGCTCCAAAATCCTTTTATGCAAACCACAAGGAAATAATTATATTATACTATTTAAACGTTATTGAACGGTTCTCCGTTACACAAAGAACTCAGGATCAAAATAGATCAAGGATCAGAATAACTCTCTAAAATAATATGGTTACGTCAAACTGCATGAATAGATATAATTGTGCGCGGCGGCACCATGCTCTGGCAGGTTGCCATGGTTACATGCTAGGTTGGGTTGCAGGTGCTGGGGCCCGGCCCGCCGGTGCAGAGGCGGGGCGGACAGTCTCCTCACTCTGGCTGCTCCCAGTTGTCATGGTTACGGTTCTAGTGTTCTTCTTTACTTGTGGTGGTTTTCCAAAAAAAATCCTAAATGATTTTCTCTGCCAAATTTCTGTTATTAGACTATTTAAATTCTATTCAGTTTATTTCTATAGCTCCAATTCCCATCATGTCATCTCAGGTCACTTTCCAGATCCAGATCAACCA